TATATATATGTGTGTATATCTCCAGGCTTCAGCAGACAACTCCTGGAGCTGATCCCAGCCTCCACTGGGATCCTGGACAGTTGCCTGCCAGAGAGAGAGAGAGAGAGAGAGAGAGAGAGAGAGAGAGAGAGAGAGAGAGAGAGAGAGAGAGGGGAAACTAATTAAGATCACCTGGTAAGAAATAAATGTAAAATGTATGGGTTTACAAAACTGTGGTCACAAGTACAAAACTATTTTCAAGCACATGTCAGTGAATAATAAATTATTCAACTTTGAGAGAAGAGGTTTTTTGAGAATTATGACAATTTCCTTCCTGTACCACAGACAAAGATACTCACTCCGTTTCTGTCTGGTGATTCTGAGATTCTCCAGGAATTTGGGCTTTATTTTCGCCACCAGTTTATCATACTCTTCCTCCATCCTCTGCCGCACTGGACTCTTCCCCACTTCTTCCCAGTCCTCCTCAGTCTACACACAACAGACAAAATGAAAACTTCCTTGTCAGTGGCCACATGGGAGCAATCATCAGGGTAAACAGTCAAAAACACCACCTGTTCCCTGCAAATGTCTTCTCACCATATGTCTGAAGGCCTCCCCATCGTAATAGGTCTCTGATGCAGGATACTCAATTCCTTCATCTTGTAGCTGCTGTGTGCTTGAAGCCACCACATGCAGCTCGTCTCCATCATAGGCGTACACCTTTTTGTCCTCACATGTCATCAGAATAAGCTGGTCACACGGGCAGGAGATGCCCTCCACCACACCAAAAACCTGCATGTTTACTATGTCAGGGAGGTAGAATGCTCCCCAGCTCTTCACCTCGTAATCGTCATCTCTGTAAATGGTGTCCTCAAGCCCTGCTATCCTCAGTCTGGCACCAGGTGGACTTTGTAAGGGTAAAATCTTGTGTCGATGTGTAGTCACAAAGTCTGGCACTGAATCTGGACCTGCATCACATGTCAGACAAGAGGGATTTGATCCAAGTTGGAAAATACTTATTATAGCAAGGTTTTTATGATGGAGGGAAAGATCTATGAGGTCTACCTTTTATCTCATTACATGGTGGTAACAGCTGATCTGCCGACCTGGAAAGTAGAGTTCACAAAAAGAAAAGCTGATATTCTTAACAGTATTTACTGTAAAACAATCCACTGTAGTGGTAATGACCATAGGCCAATACGTACATGCATGTGAAAGTGAGAATATGGTGATTTGGCTCAGCACAGGATTAATTGTCCTGCTGACAGTCTGGCACAGTTGAGTACTTTGAAAATAAACAACTACAGAATTAAAGATCTTTCAAATATTTTTATAGTACACATATCCACAAAATCTTAATGGGGAGGTGCTGTCAAAGGCTCTTGTGACCCCAGACTCAAACAACCTGGCAGCAGAGCAGAGCTATTACCTTCTAAATAATAAGATTCACCTTACTAACCAATCAGAGACAGCCAACATCAGGGGCAAGAGCGCACGGCTGTCGATCAATACATGAACGTGCTTCAATTCACTTCACCGAGGCTTCAGACATCGCTATGGTTGAATCGCAGGCTAGTGAGCTCCTGATTCCGGTACTAGCTGAGACAACATACACGAAAAAGAAGCGTTTTGAAGAAGAGTAAAAATTCATTCATTTTCTACCGCTTAATCCCTGAAAAGCCCTGCGATGGATTGGCGACCTGTCCAGGGTGTACCCCGCCTTCGCCCGATTACCGGCCGGGATTGGCTCCGCCCCCGTGAAAAGCAAAAATCTACTAGCAAAATTATATTTAGTGACATATATAAAACGAATGCTGATTTGGGAGTATTTCTTCAACTGGCATGTTGTCAATTTATTATTCGTAATAATTTCATAATTCAAAACATTTACCCTTTGTGCTGTTGCTTTCAGTTATGATATTTAACCACTTACATCCAGGCAAGTTCATAAGCCACCCGGTCAGACCGCCGCAGCTGTCAAATCCATTTGTGACTGTGAATTACATTATTTTGATGCCCACCAGCTGATAACATTGTAGTCTCCACTAATGATGATTTTTCACTGGGAGTCTGGCTCTCGTCACCCCGTTAGGGTGAGTGTGCGGTAGGACCCCAACTGCAGAGATCAAGAACACAGGGCTAATCACGGAGCAACTCAGGGCAAGTAAACGTCAATGAACCAGCGACAAATGAGCAGAAAACAGTGTGTGTATGTGTGTGTATATATACACACACACATGTGGCCGGAACAGGAGGTAATGAGACGCAGGTGGAGTGGATAATGGCTGATTATGGTGACAAAGGTGTATTGTCTTCCTGGACCTCCTATAAACCACAATGACCTCCTTTGTCTTGTTGGTGTTCAGGACAAGATTGTTATCTGAACACCACCTTGTCAGGTGCTGGATCTCCTCTCTGTAGTGAGTC